CATAAGTAGCTTGTGGGCTTTTCTAACGCAGAGACACTTAGTTGATGAGATACATGATGTTCACGTTACAGACGCCTCACTCCAGGGCCTTTCCCAGTTTGCAGCCAGGCACAAGCCAGGGCGAGTGAAATGCAGTGGGGGACTGAGACTGCTTCTGCTTTGTATTTTCATGAAAATAGGAAGATTTGTTTCGCCCGCAGCTGCCGTCTCCCACTTAAATGCGTTGATGCGGGATCAGAGGTTCACTGCGCCGTCTCTCATATTGCCGTGGCGGACGTGACTGTCTTACCAACTCAGAGGAAGCATGCACACCAGATGAAATCAGACAGGCCTATGCTGAAAGAGAGAGAGGGGAAATAAATAAACCCCAGCAGAAGCTTTGGAGAGATGGGCACGAAGATGAATTAGAACAGCCAATCATGCGGCAGCTTAACCATTATTGAAACGCTTCCTTCCCGGTCTTAAATACAGAGACCAGGAAATAACACAAGATCTGAAATTAGATCAGTCATTTATAGTGTTTCTATGTCTGTGAAACGATTTGCAGTAATCTGATCATCCGTTTAGTGACCACATCAAGGAGTCTGTGAACCATAGCCTGAATCGTCTGGCTTCACACCTGTGAAGTCTGGGGCAGGGTCCCAGTTCAGCCTCCAAGCCAGCAGAGGGAGGGGGTGGTTGTGATGTGACTTCTGGGGCTATGTGGGTTGTTCAGGCTCCTCCCCTGGCGTCCTTCTCCCACGTTCTGGGCTTTGTGGCTTCTCCATCCTCTCCCCCAAATTATTGGGACACTTCATGGTTAAGCCCGTTTTCCTCCTGAGACCAAAGACATCACTGAGACATTCACAGGAAAAAGGATTTATGTTAGTCCCTTTTATAATTTAAGTAATTTGATTTTTGAACATTAACACACATGGCTAAAAATTTGAAAGCAAAGCTCAATAATATATATGAATAGTCTCTGCCCACGTCTCTCTTTCAGCTCTCCGATTTCTACCCACCTCCCCAAAGGGATGCCCCTGGTGCTAACTTCTTGTGTATTCTAGGAGTGCTACACAGATATCAGTTCAGTTCAGTTCAGTCACTCAGTCGTGTCCGACTCTTTGTGACCCCATGAATTGGAGCACGCCGGGCCTCCCTGTCCATCACCAACTCCAAGAGTTTACTCAAACTCATGCCCATCGAGTCGGTGATGCCATCCAGCCATCTCATCCTCTGTCATCCCCTTCTCCTCCTGCCCCCAATTCCTCCCAGCATCAGGGTCTTTTCCAATGAGTCAACTCTTTGCATGAGGTGGACAAAGTACTGGAGTTTCAACTTCAGCATCAGTCCTTCCAAAGAACACCCAGGACTGATTTCCTTTAGGATGGACTGGTTGGATCTCCTTGCAGTCTAAGGGACTCTCAAGGGTCTTCTCCAACACCACAGTTCAAAAGCATCAATTTTTCGGCGCTCAGCTTACCTCACAGTCCAACTCTCACATCCATACATGGCCACTGGAAAAACCACAGCCTTGACCAGATGGACCTTTGTTGGCAAAGTAATGTCTCTGCTTTTTAATATGCTATCTAGGTTGGTCATAACTTTCCTTCCAAGGAGTAAGCGTCTTTTAATTTCATGGCTGCAATCACCATCTGTAGTGATTTTGGAGCCCCCAAAAATAAAGTCTGACACTGTTTCCACTGTCTCTACATCTATTTCCATATAGAGGAATATAAATATGCATTCACCTTGTTCTATGCATTTTCTGCATGGAAAGTGCTACCTTGGTCCATAATGCATCCAGGGAGCGGGCTGCCCATGGTAGCCCCCCAGCCTGCTCCTTGTTGGAAACAGTTTAGCTTGTTTCCAGTCTTTTCTTATTACAAACAAGGCTTCAGCTTTGGCCAGTGTGTGAGAAACCCAGGATATAGATTCCCAAAGTGAGAGAGGCAGGACTTGCTGGATGGCAGACAGAGGACCACACTAAGCATTCTTCCCCCGGAATGCAAGGAATTTACTGGAGGAAGTATAGGTGGGAGAAACCCAAACATATCAAAACTCTAGAAATCAACCAAAGGCATAGAGACTGAAAAGCGTTTGATCACGAAAATCATGCATCTTGGTGAGAGAAGCAGGGTCTGTGCTTTCGATTCGCCACTCCGGCTGATAGTCTCAACTCTGTGACACAGCTTGCCACCTCCGGAGATGACTGTGCAGTTCCACCTGACCTCAGAAGAGGCTGTTTTCAAACTTCCCTGAACCTCAGTGTCTGGAATTAAAATTCACCTTCTTTCCTGTTTTTTAATGGTTATTTTTGGCTGCATTGGTTTTTGTTGCTGCCCGTGGGCTTCTCTCTAGTTGAGGTGTGCAGGCTTAGTTGCTCCATTGCCTGTCATGTGGGATCTTAGTTCCCCAACCAGGGATCAAACTCATGCCCCCTGTCTTGGCAAGTAAATCTTAACCACTGGCCCACCAGGGAAGTCCCTAAAATTCCCATTCTTTTTTTTTCTTTTTTTTTCCATTTATTTTTATTAGTTGGAGGCTAATTACTTTACATCATTACAGTAGTTTTTGTCATACATTGAAATGAATTAGCCATGGATTTACATGTATTCCCCATCCCGGTCCCCCCTCCCACCTCCCTCTCCACCCGATCCCTCTGTAAAATTCCCATTCTTAAAGCGACTACCAGTTAGTTCCCTCACTCTCTGGTCACTGTCCCACTTGAATGGGCTGCCCCCACATTTTTCACATCCGCGCTGGCCCACCTCTCTCTTGTATGCTGAGTGTGGCTTTCCTGTGGGTGTTGCCTGGTTAGCCAATGTGGAGTGGGGAGGCACTGGCATTGTGGATATTCCTGTTTGCCAGCTTCTTCCATCTTCCCTGATGTTGGGAGATATCCACCTTTAACCTCATTTTACAAGTGAGAGAATGGGAGTGAATGAGGGGGCCTGACCATCTGGAACCAAGCTGCCAGGTGTGGAGGTGGTCAGTGAAGACAGGGGTCCTACTGACAGCATCTGTTAGTTATTTGCTATAAAGGCTAATGGACTTCTCAGGTGGTTCAGTGGTAATAAATCTGCCTGCCAATACAGGAAACACAGATGTGGGTTTGATCCCTGGGTGGGGAAAGTCCCCTGGAGGAGGAAATGGCAACCCACTCCAGTATTCTTGCCTGGAGACTCCCATGGACAGAGGAGCTTGTTGGGCTACAGTCCATGGGGTGGCAAAGAGTCGGACACAAATGTACTATAGACACACACACATGCATAAAGGCTAATAAACCCTTATTCACTTACTGTGATGGTGTGAGCAAGGGGCTGAATGGGCAGAAGGGCCAGCTTCCCGGTGCTCCGTCCCAAGGAACAGTGCAGGCAGGGATGCTCACTGATGGAGAGGCTGCTGCTGAGTCCTGGACCAGGGAGCCAGGGAGGAGGAGGTAGGAGGAGGGCTGGGAGTGGAGAAGGTGCGGGTCACTGAGGCAGAGTGGGGAGACATGTCTGCAAGACTCCTGAGACAAGGGGTATCAGCAGAGGTGTTTTGGAAAGGCCCCAGGCTGGATCCCCTAAGAAGGCACTGAATGCAGGTATTCAGGCCAGGAATGCAGATATATGTGTGGCATGGTCGGTCAGAGTGGGAGGGACCTGCATCCCTGCCTGCAGCTTCCTTCAGACTTTAAGATGCCCTGCTGTGCCCCAGGTCTGGGATGGGGAGGGCCGCTTTCCCCATGAGGCTTGCCAGTGAAAGTCTTTGTTCTTGCCTGTGGTCGGGCCTGGAAGTTCACATATGGCCAGGAGCCTGACTTCTCAGTGATTCTGTAAATGACCTCTGAACTTTTCAAATACAAAGAAGTCCCCGGCCACAGCACAGCCCTGGATTCCAGCTGGCATGGATCCTGTAGCGGAAAGAAATCTAGAGGGAGGGGTCACTTCTGCTGTCGCCTGCCTGGTCAGACTCCTATTCAGGACCCTGGAGAGCTGCCCACGGGAGAGGACAGGTGGTGCTGGGGCCACTGCCACCGACCCTTGCAGGCCCCCAGCCCTCAGCCCCAAAGGGGAGCCTCCCAGCCCCCCAGACCCCAAGGGGACCTTGTCTAGCAAGGAAGGAGCACTGGGGAGAAGATGAAGAATCCTCTACCATGGCCTCTGTGGATCCCGCAGCTGGGAGCCTGGAGTGGGGGCAGGAGGTGAGAGTCAGGCTGTACTGGGGCTTTGGAGATGTGATTTCTTATCTTTCCAACACTCAGACTGCACTGTGGGTGTTAATACTTATTAAGTGGAAAAACTGAGGTTCAGAGGACTTCAGTGTCACACCCAGGGAGTACGTGGTGAAAGGAAATTGGAACCAGTTCTGTCTGATTCTGAAGTTCACAACCTCCTTGCCTCAGTGCTGAGTGGAGTGGTGCTTGCTTTCTTTCTTTTAATATTTATTTATTAATTTTTGGCTGCACTGGGTCTTCATCGCTGCACGCAGGCTTTCTCCAGTTGCAGCGAGCAGGTGGCCACTCTTTGTTGCGATGCGTGGTCTTCTCACTGCAGTGACCTCTCTTGTTGTGGAACACGGGCTCCAGGGTGTGCAGGCTTTACTGGTGTGTGGGCTGAGTAGGCTCGCAGGCTCCAGAGTATAGTCTCATTAGTTGCGGTCCATGGGCTTCGTTGCCCCACGGCATGTGGGATCCTCCTGGACCAGGGATCAAACTCATGTCCCCCGAATTGCAAGGTGGACTCCCAACCACTGGATCACCAGGGAAGCCTGAGAGGTGCTTTCTTTGATGTGCTTCTGAGGACTAGCCCTGGGATGTTGGGCTGTCTTTTCTCAGTAGCATAGATGTGTGCTCCCGGAAGCAGTCTTGCAGGGGATCTGTGTAGCTGAAAGTTCAAGGACACTGGTAGATTTCTCCCAGAGATGCCATCTGTTTGCTTGAGAAGCCTGGCTGGGGAGTGGGTGCCGCCAGGTGGACTCAGACATCCTGCAGGTGTGCTCCAGCGCTTACCTTGTCTCCTATGCTCCTCATGCAGGTCAACATTGGCATCCTCATCGCGGTAACCAGGGTCATTTCACAGATCAGCGCCGAGAACTACAAGATACATGGAGATCCCAGCGCCCTCAAGTAAGCTGGACCTGGGGCTGTCAGCCATGCCCCGCCCACCCACTGCTGCTCTGGGGGTGGCAGGAGGACAGGTCACACTCTTGGGCTCGCCCTGTGTCCACTTGACATCACAGGGAGCACAGAACTTATGCCATCATCCATCTCAACCAGGAGCAGCCCCCTTTCCCAGCTCGCTGCCCCATCTGTGAAAGAGGGGGTTTATTAGGTGATCCTGCAGAGACAGCTTCACCCCTAAAGTTAGAGGAGCTTGTGGTGGGATACAGAGGAGGATTCTCAAGCCTGACTGTCCTGCTGCGTCGGTCGTGGCTCAGCCCTTACCATCTGCTGAGACCTTGTGAGCTGTTGAACCCCATAGCACCCTGCTTTGCTGATCTGTGTGGTGGGGGTGATAGCAGCCATCTCAAAGGTTGTCCTGACCTGAGCTGGGGCTGATCCATCCACAGAAGGAACATGTGTCTCCACACTCACATTTGCTGCCTTCTGGGGTTTCCTTCACCCCATTATTGGGGATCTGCTGCTTGCAAGTGTCAGAAAACCCAAGACAAGCTGACTCAAGCAAAGGGCATATCTATCAACACAGGCAACCATGAGTCCAGGAGAGAGTCTAGAAAGGCTTAGTCCAGGACCCAGTCTGCCTGCATTTCTCTGCCCCACATCACCTGTTGGTTTCACCCTGAGATGAACTGTGCCTCCTGGTGACAAAATGGCTGCCAAAGAAGGTTCAAGGCCATGGGAAAGTGTGTCTCTTTCCCTCGAAATCAGACAGAGGTCCTGAGCCTGCAGGCAGACTCAGACCAGGCCATATGCCCATCCATGAATCAGTTACAGTGGATGGAAGTCAGCAGTTAACCCAGGCCTGAGTCACATGGTCCATCCTGGTTCTGGGGTGCAGGCAGCACCTCTAAACCACAGGGCCAGGAAGTGGGAGAGGTGGCTCCTTGCAGGAATTTAGGGGCTGTTACACAAATAGGGCAGGATTCCCAGGTGGTACTAGTGGTAAAGAACCGGTCTGTCAATGCAGGAGAAGTAAGAGATGCAAGTTTGATCTCTTGGTCAGGAAGATCCTCTGGAGGAGGAAATGGCAACCCACTCCAGTGTTCTTGCCTAAGAATCCCATGGACAGAAGAGCCTGGCAGGCTATAATCCATAGGGTCACAAAGAGTCGGAAATGACTGAAGTGACTTATAAACAGGACACAGTTACTCGGCAGCTGGCATTCTGTAAGTTACTTTAGCTACACTACATCTCTTCTGATCTGAAAGGGGAAAGAGTAAATATATCTGCAGCAAATCGATAAGACAATTATTCTGTAATGAATTCTAAACACTGTAAATTAACCTGACAAGTGGCTCTGGCTTCTAGAACTTTTTCAGCCCCTGGAAACCTTGGAGATGCTCCTGGGTCAGGGTCACTTCCACTCCTCTTCCATCAGCGATAACAGGCAGCGCTGCCCCGTGAGGCAGCCTGTCCCCAGCCAAGGGGCCTGGCCAGGGAGGAGCCTGACCCTCCCTCACCCCAACCTCAGTCCCTAGGCCCTCCCCTCCATGGACAGGGCCCTGGTCTGTCTCCAGCACAGGCTCTTGCTGCCCCTCTGACTCGGTACCCAGGGGACTACTGGCCTAGCTGTGCCAAGAGCAGCCTAGGTCTCAGCTCACACCCACCCCTCCTCTCTGGCCCCTGTCCCCTCTTCACGCACCGTGGCCCAGGAGGTGGCTGAGCCCATGACCCGGCTACTCTCCGTGGGTACCTGGTCTCAGAGTGGAGGCTGACACATGGGAGATGGAGCTGTGATCTGGAGGGGGTTTCTGCCTCTCTGAGGAACCAAGACTGGGGCAATGCTGCTGTGCCCTCCTGTGTCCTGTGTCCTTCAGGTGACATAACGGCCCTGGTCCAACCTCCTGGAGAGAGTCCAGCTGGTCTCTCTGGACAGACCCCTGACTCTGATGTCACCCAGCACTGACTCCTCTTCACGTGGTGCAGCTGGACCCTGACTAGCTCTCTCACTCCCTTCTTAGTGTCATTAGAGTGACCGCCCCGTCCCTGGGCTGGTGAAGCAGGAGCCCTGGAAGCTGGGCGGGAAGATGCAACACAGCCTCCTCAGGACACTTCCGGCTCCTCGCCTCTTGGATTCAATCTAATCCTCTCCTTCCTGCCCATCAGCTCAATGCTCAGTGCCTAATGGGATCAAATGCTTCCTCGGGAGCCCTAATGGGCTGCCTTTCACCTGCTTTCTCATCTCTATTTATTGGTCGTGATTTCAGACTCCCCAGAAAGCAGCAAAGAACATTCAGTTTTCCCAGTGAAATCAGGGACTGGGGGTGTGGAGGGAGGTGTGAACCACGTGGAGCCTTGGGTGGTTAGAGAACGCGGGAGGTGGAGCCCCACGCAGGCCCCGCCCCCGCGGGCGGGGAGCCAGTTGGGGGTGTGCATCAAGGAGTCACGCGCTTGCTTGCATGCGTGCGTGCCTGGTGCGTGCGTATGGACAGCATCCACCTGCCCAGGCCTTCGACTCTGCAGGGACCCCGCTCCTTCCGCCTTTGACCAGGAGACCTGGCAGCTTGGTTAACGAGTCCTCAGAGAGCACCTACTAGAGGAGTTTCTCCCAAGATTTCATCATTTATTGCTCTACTTTTTAAAGTAAAAATGAGCTATTTCTTTGAAAGTAGCACATTTGATACCGATTTGTCGGCGGCTGCTCCTTTCAATTACAGATTTTTCAGGATCTAAAGGTTGAACCTAAATCATTCATGATATTTTATTTCCCAGATTCAGGTGTTTTAACTGTATTAACATTATGAAAACACAGGGCGGCAGCTTCCCTGAGAGCTGACATGCGGGAACAGCCTTTGGTTTCTCAGGGATTTGCCGCCAGGAGCTGTCAGTGCCGGGAGATCGGCCTTCTGACCCGGAAGTGCCTTGGGGCTGTTACACCGACTCCTGGAAGGGGCTGGATCCATGTGCCCTATGTCTGCAGGCTCATCCATGTGCTCTTCCTTCATCTTTTCAGTGACCACTTCCTGAGAGCCCGCAGGTCCTGGCGCCTTGCTGCGCTTTGGGGCTGCGGAGATGCAGACAAAAGTCCAGCCTCCAGAGAACTCACCCTCCAGTGAGCGAGACCGTGTCAGCCACTGCGCTGAAGGACAAAGGGTGTGCGGGTTGCTGACCTGGGCAGCACGGCTCCCATCAGCCTCCAGACTTTTCTCTAAAGCTCACTTGCAGAGCCTCCCTCCCTCCCCATCCCCATGGAAAGCTGAGCTGTTTCAGGAGTCAGGTAGACTGGGCTTCAGTTAGCATGTGATTTGCAGGGCATATCGGAGACAAACAGGACTTGGACAATCTCATGGGTACTGCCTCAACACCAGCTCTGTTCCGGGCTCTCCAGACCCTGAGGGACTGAGATCCGTCTTCTTGAGGAACTCACATTCCGAGGGGGGAGCCTCAGAGCTGATGCTGCAGGTGCCCCAGCACTGGGTGTGTCTCCCACCTTACCCAGTCCCACAGCTCTGCTTCTCTCTGTGGCACCTGGGATCAGCATTTCCGTCAGCATCACCACCGGCTGGGTCAGGGTGGTCATCCTGAGTTTGCCCAGTGGATGTGCTGGCTCCCAGATGCCCCGAGCAGGCTACAGTCCAACAGGAGCCGAGCTGTCAGCTTGGCCCAAGGCTGGCCTGGCACCGACCTTGTCTTAAACATTTGGGGTGGTCAGCTCCTCACTCAGGGTCTCCTGAAGGGAGGAGCCAGGTCTCACTCCCAGCAGTGGCTCTGTCTGCTCCCATCTGGAAGCCTTGCATCTGGACCCCCCCTGCCGGCCCATCACTCGGAGTGCCCATCCCTGTTTCTCTGGCAGGTTGACCGCAAAAGCTGTGGCCGTGCTGCTGCCCATCCTGGGAACCTCGTGGGTCTTTGGCGTGCTTGCTGTCAACAACCAGGCCATGGTCTTCCAGTACATGTTTGCCATACTCAACTCCTTACAGGTGAGGGCCCAATGGGACTGTCAGCCTGGGAGCTGTCAGCTTTGTGAATAGATGCTGGGTGCAGGTTGCCATGGCAGCAGGAGGGAGACACTCTGATCTGTTTCCTCCACACACATTCACCTTGTGAGCCCGTAGGGTGGGAGCATCCCTGAGGACAGAGGCATGGATGGGGCACACACCAGGGTCTCTGAGCAAACAGGGCCTGGAGGACCCCATTTACAACAGGGTTGCCTCATTTTTCAGGGCAGTACCTGTGGGAGATACATCTAGCCTGAATGGAAGATGGTCAGCATGTAGGTGGCTCCCAAAAGGGAGCCAGGCATGGAGGGGTGGTGAAGAGGGAGTTACCTCAGGTTCTGAGTTCTCATCCGCCCTCTGCATAGAGGGACAGAAAAGGTAACAGCCTGGAAACTGGAGATCTTAGATGCCTAGAGTCCGAGTCCCCAGACCCATAAGCCCCTGATGGAAGGATGGAGGCGGATGCTCATTGCCATTTATAGCCTACACAGCTGAGCTGCAGGCTGAATCCTGGCAAACGTCACTGCGGCCCAGCCCAACCCTCACCGTGATGTCCTTGCTGCCCCTGAGTCTTCACAACCATCAGCTGTGTTGCACTTTTAATCTGTATAAGCCCCTATACACAGCTTCCTTTTGGTTGTCATGGTGACAGGGGATAGGTTGTCTTGGCAGCAGGCCTTACACACCACAGATCCTGGGTTCCTCGTTTATCCTCTGTGTCCCGGTCTCCTTCCATAAAATGGGAGCAGTAATAGGAACCACTAAATGGGGCTGCTTTTAGCGCTCAATGAGATGAAGTGTTTGCCTAGCGCTGACACAGAGGAACAGTGTCTAGATGTTTGTCTGTTTTCATTGTCATCATCATCCTTGGTCTGCCGGTGAGAATACAAGGGCTGTTAGCTGGTAGGCTTGTGCCCTCCCTCTTCCTCCCCAGCAAGTTTGCTCCTCTTCCAGGTTCAGCCAATCTGGGCATGTACCTGTCTCTGTATATTGGTCATGGTGTCTGTCTACATCTAGGTTAGATTACAGGATACCCTTCCATCCTCATGGTTTCATGGTGAAGCATCACAGCTGTCTCCCATCCTCTCCAGCACCAAGCCATGCCAATGCCACTCTCAGAGTCCATGGGTGACATTGGAAAGAACCCTCAGAAAGTGTTTGTAACAAAAATGGAAGTGGCTCTAATTCTGTGTTTTCTTCCCTTTCCTTCCCAGGGATTTTTCATCTTCCTCTTTCACTGTCTCCTGAATTCAGAGGTATGTCTGCTCCACTTCCTGCCAACATGAAGTGGGTTTTTCATTTCTGAAAGGCACAGAGAGCAGGAAAGGTGTGGCCTCATCTGGCTGGTGTCTGGGACCGTAACCCTGAATGAGCCTTGGTATCTGTAACATGTTGTGTGCAGGGGGCTGCTTTCCATCAGTCCTTCCTCCTGCATCCTGGTTGCTAAGCAACATACACATATCCTCCCTCACTGATGTCACTCAGGGACTGCTGGCTGCATGGAGGACCAGGAGAGACAGAGACAGTGTGGAGTAACTGAGTTGGAGATTCAGGACCTTGTTTGGCATCTGGTATATTAGGGAGAGTGAGATGCAGATGCGCTCCCAGCAAACCCTCCCCCAAGGCATACAGGAAGCTGGCCTGGGGTGTAAGGAAGACTCTTGACTACAGGGATTGGAGAGGGGGCTTTTGTGATGTGGCTTCCAAGGGCACTGGGGCACCTGGAGTGGGCTCATTCCTCTTGGTGCAGTCTGGGCCATTGCACCTGCCATGTACTTGGCCACGGGGATGGTGCAGTCTGCTCTGGAGCCCATCTCTCAGGACCAGTAATCCATAGGAAAAGTTTTACCCTTACATTGTGGATTCGGTCCCATGTTCCTTGGCATTTGAGCCAGGTGGCACTAGTGGTAAAGAGCCCACTTGCCACTGCAGGAGACATGAGATGTGGGTTCAATCCCAAGGTCGGGAAGATCCCCTGGAGGAGGGTATGGCAACCCAGTCCAGCATTCTTGCCTGGAGAATCCCATGGACAGAGGACCCTGGTGGGCTACAGTCCATGGGGTTGCAAAGAGTTGGTCATCATCGAAGTGACTCAGCACGCACACACACACACACACACACACACACACACACACACAGATAACAAGCTGGGATTATGGGGAAATGCCTCTGGAATGATGATTGAGAACAGGGTGGGAACACGTCCTGCTCTTTCAGGAGACTCTGTCCATTTGCATAGGAGAGGTCAGGCAGAGAGGAAGGAGATGTGGGGCGGGGCACACAGGGTGAGTTGCCCAGGATGATGGCAGCCAATGGAGGACGGAGGTCACATGATTGCAAAGACCAAGGAGCAGCCCTAGCAGAGGCTGACTGATCCACGTGGCAGAGGGGGCAGGAAGGAGAGCAGCCTCAGAACCACACACAGCCTGTTCCACGCCTGCATTTGTTCATTTACTGCTGTGGGTGAAGTCTGTGCCAGTCACATGCCCTGCTCCCTTGCTGTTCATTGTTGAGCATGTCCTATCTCTTCACCCAGAGCTGTGAGGTCAGCAAAGACCAGGAGACCCAGCTTTCTCCCCGTGCAGGGCTGGGTGTGGTGGGGGTTGGTGGGGAGGGGGGCACAGTCTGTATCTGCCAAACGAATCAGTGACACACAGCGCAGCTCTGGAACCTCTAACTGTTTGGACCTGATAACTCCGAATCCTGTCTTGCCCCACATGTGGTGTTCTGGGCCTGGCATCAGCGCAAATTCCTCAGGACCTCTTATTGTTGCTTTTTCCACTTCTGAAATTGCTTCCACTGAGCCTTCCATTCTGCCTTTGAAGGTCAGAGCTGCTTTCAAGCATAAAACCAAGGTCTGGTCCCTCACGAGCAGCTCCAGCCGCCAGGCCAACGTGAAGCCCTTCAGCTCGGACATTGTGAGTGCATGTGGTGTCTTGTCTACACCCCTCCTGCGCCGGCCCATCCTTCTCCGAGTGCCTTCCATCCTCAGCCCGCCTTGACCCAGGGCTCTTGTTCCTTGTCCTCATTGCCTGGAAAGCCAGTCCACGCCGGCTGGGGACTTGCTCCAGCTTCACTGAGCTACACACAGCTCCCACCTTGCTGAGAACCAAGGGGTCCTGAGCCTGCGTTGTTTGAGTCCTGAGCCCCAGACCCTCTGCTTCCTCCTTCCCTAAGCTCCGTTGTCTGCACCATATGTGTTGGGCAAGTGGCAGGTCGAGGTGATGGAGGCTTGGCTCAGGTGCTGGTGCTTGTTGGTCGACCCTTTCACACCCGACAGGCCTGCAGGTGGCACAAGCTGATGTCACACCCCAACAAAGTCCCATCCTCGTGAAATCACCTGAACCTCTCTCCTGCACTTTCCAGGACCAGTACTTCTTATGTTGACTCAGGGAGATGGAAGGTCAGTTGACCAAGAAGCAGACACTGGACACGCTGGTGTCCCACAGAGGCACAGAAGTCCCCTGGCACAGCCTGACCTTTACATCAGGGCTCCTCCCCCTACAGATGCCTAAAAAATTGAGCTTGAATGATCAGGGGTCTGAACAAGCCATGCATTTTCAGTGCTGGGCTTGGATGTGTGGTTCCTCGTTCTCTGCCCTCCAGACCCCCAGGCATGGCCCCCAGGCAGCCTGGAGCAGGTGGTGTCCTACATTCTCACTGCAGTGCAGCTTCCTACCTGTCAGGTCCTTGCTCAGGGATCCCATCTCAGAAAGTCCTTCCTAGACAGCATTGAAAAAAGGTGCTCCCTCCTATTCCAGCATCCTTTGCCTGCCTGCCAGTCCTGGGAGTTGTTCAGTTTATTCATTTCCTTGATGGCCATTGTCCGGCTCCCCCATCAGAATGTAAGCTCCAAGAGAGCAATGGTCTGGTCAGCTTGGCTCACTGGAGCGACCTCAGAGCCTCCCTCAGTCCCTGGTGCATGGCCTGCTCCATAAGTCAACACAGAGGGAATGAGCAAATAAGTGGATGGATGAATGCATGTGTGAATGGATGAATACATGTGCGAATGAATGAATGAAGAAAGGACAGACTGATGAGTGAATGACTGCAGGGTTGAGTGCACCCCAGAATATGGGAGCTACGAGGCAGGCAAATGCTTGCCAAGAAGGTGGAGAAAAGTGCTCATTTTTCTGGGGAGCAGTGCCGCTTCCTCTCACTAGGGAGGATTCTCAAGCAGCTTTCTGGCCCAAGGCTTTGCTCTCCACACTCCCGGGGCGCCATGGGTTTCTTGTCTCAGAGCAGAGTCTTCACTACTTGCTCCTTCGTGGTTTGCAGATGAACGGGACCCGGCCTGCTACAGGCTCCACCAGGCTCAGCCCTTGGGACAAGAGCAGCCACTCTGGACACCGCATGGACCTGTCTGCCATGTGAGCAGAGAGGCTGAAGACCCGGCCGGCCTGCTGCTCAGAACCCCTCCACCTGCTGCAAACAGAACACAAGCAACACTCTGCCTTTGCCTCTGGGACCCTCTCCTCATTACCGTCTGGACCCGGGGGTCACAGCCCCGAGAGAACTGTCCTCACCTGTGACCTGCCCACGTGACAGAGTCCACCACTCTGCCTGCAGCCTGATACACAGAGGCGGGGGGTGGGACCCAGTGCCACAGACTTCCCCTTCATCCCTGCCAGCGCGCACAGCACAGAGCCCTCCACACTGCGCGCACAGCGGCCAGAGCACTGGGTGAGAAGTTTAACCTCTGCCTGGTGATGGGGACTTTGGACCAAAGTGCTGGTGTCTGCAGGGGAGGGTTGGGCGGAGGCCGCTGCCCATGAGCATGTTTTCCACCTGCCGACTCCACCCAACAACAGGATCCCCAGTGCCAGGCATCTGCCGAAGAGTGACTCTTTCTGCAGGGTGGTGCCAGCCTGGGCCAGCCCCACGTCTGCTTGCATGGCTGCACTGGGCCTCTGCTGATGCCCAGGGCTATGAGGTGGAGACGCTGGCCGCCCAGCCCCTGTCTGTGTGCGGGGATCTTGCCAAGGCAAAGAGCTCCACAGAGGGTGGGGCCTTCTGCTCCGAAAGCATCTCAGCCCCTTCCTCGTGCATGTTGGCTCTTCAGATTCAAAGTCAGCCTTAAAATCCACGCCCCTCCTCCTTTCCTGGCACCTGAGCCTTCTCTGTGTTCAGCCTTCCCTGGTAGGCCAGAAGAGCCACCGTTTTCCAAGGCGTAACATCCCTAGGATTTCTTCCTCATCACTTGCAAACGCTTTTCTGGTTTTCCAAAGAGTGGATCACAGTGGAGAGTAGCACGGTACGGTAGGTGACTGCACGATGCTGCAAAGACGCCTTGACAGAGCCACATAGCAGGCTGCTCTTGAGTGCGGGGGAGAATCAAGAACCCCCGTCCTGACCGACCTAGGGAGGGAGGGGGTGGCATTGGCTGTGTCTTCTGAGTTGATGTTTATTTATAGACCTAGACCTGGACTCAGCCCCCTAGGGGACGCAATGATCCTTACGACCCCATGTTTGGGCGAGATCCCGTGGGTTTGCAATCCTAGATGTGAACTGAAAAGCCATGGAATTGTTGGGAAACAGAACTACGAAAGGTTGCACTGTGAGTGCTTGTGAAATGTATGGGTAAGAAATTCCAACCTGTTTTTGATACTGGAAAATCTTCCTTGAAAACTGTGACAGCGATAGCATTAAAGCCCCTGCCCCCCGACGACCGTCCCACCCTATCTCCTCACCTCTGCTGTGTCTCCTGGTGAGTTTCTATGTGGTTTTGTAGACCTTTTCCCATCTTCCTCTGCACCTTCATAAAGGAACTCCTGCCCTGATGCCCTGATGACGATGAGTGTTAACAGTCATTTTCAAGCATCTCCTGCTGTGTTGAGGGTGGGGTTAACCTCTGTCCTTCCACAGGGAGGAGGGGGTCCCCAGATGTACCCGCCTCGGCACCTCTGACAGCGCCCTGTGTGGTGCCATGGATATGCCTTGGGGGGTGAACCTGGCTGATGCCAGCAAAGAGCCCAGTGTTTGGTGAAAAGTATGGCTGGCCCCCGCTCTAAGTGTCTTGTGATTCCAGAAGCCAGGTCACCTGTAACTTGGCATTATATCCTTGTGCCCAAGAACACCTAGAAGTGAGAACACTGTATTCTAAAGATTTACACTTGGATTTTTTTTTTTCTTATTTAGTTTCTGGTGAAGCAAATCAAATAAGGAACTGTCTTTATTTTACATAGAATTCTTTGTTTTTTTTTTTTTTAAATCTGCATATTCACCCTACATAGCTAATATATCAGGAGAAGTAATGAACAACTTTTTATCTCTAAAGAATGAGAGTAGTGCACTTTATTTATAGGCTATATATTTTGGCTTCTGCGGTACTCTATTATCTACACATAATTTGGCCAAAGATAAGCAGTTGGAAAGAATTGTGTGTTTAAAGTAGTTTATAGCACAGGAAAGGTGATGAATGCCACTTTATAGTGAATATATGTTGTGACTTTTATGAAATAAACTCTTAATGTCCTTTAAGTAAAATGTGGTCCGTAGCATCTTTTGCTGGTGGAAGGCAAGCAAGACTGTGTGTCTCTTGACAAAAATCTATCGGGAAACACACATGGGTAAAATCCTATCCTGGGATTCACTCGACAGACTTCTCTTCAGTGCTTTCTATGTCCTCAGCACATTCTGGCTCTGGGGACTCTGCCTTGGATGATGCCCCACGCTACCCAGCAGCCTCCCTGGGTAGGGAAGAACGACAGACAGTGGAATTTTTGCAGCCCTGTGTTCCTCAGGTTAATGTACTGCACAGAATACTGGTGCTGCTGCTTTTTTTTTTAACTTAGCAACATGTTTTATTTTAGCTAATATATCAAAAATATTTCAACACAATATTGAAGAATTATCGAGCTATTTTATATTCTTATATACCAAGTCTTTAAACATGGTTTATTATTTTTTATTAAAGATTTTTATACAGTTTTTAAAGTTAATACTCCATTTACAGTTATTAAAAAATATTGGCTATATTCCCCATGTTGTACAGTACAGCTCTGTAGTTGACCTTACACCCCACAGTTTGTACCTCCCCCTCCCCCACCCTGTACGGCCGCACCTCCACTGGTGACCACTAGTCTGTTCTCCGTATCTGTGAGTCTGCTGCTTTTTTGTTATAATCACTAGTTTGTTGTGAACCCCTAGTGGCTCAGACAGTAAACAATCTGCCTGCAATGCAGGAGACCTGGGTTCGATCCCTGGGTTGGGAAGATCCTCTGGAGAAGGGCATGGCAACCCACTCCAGTGTTCTTGCCTGAAAATCCCATGGACAGAGGAGGCTGGTGGGCTACAGTCCATGGGATCGCATAGAATTGGACGTGACTGAGCATGCATGCACGACATAGTTTGTTGTGTAGATTACACACACACACATACACACACATATACACTCGTGCTTCTTCATGGGAGGTTCAGAGATCCTCCCAGCTGTAGTTACTCATTTGCTTTGTCGTGTTGCTCTTGGTTCTTCTTACACATGATCTACTTGGTCCTACATCCTGTCTGCTGTGCAGACATCTGCTTTTAAACTTGATGTACTGATGTACTGTAGGGACTTCCCTGGTGGTCCAGTGCTTAAGAATTCACCCTGCAATGCAGGGGAACTGGGTTTGATCCCTGGCTGGGGAACTAAGATCTCACATGTTGTGGAGCAGCCAAGCCCTCGTGATGCAACTACTGAGCCTGTGCACTCTGGAGCCTGTGTGCCCCAGCTAGAGAGTCCATGTGCCGCAATGGAGGGTCCCATGTGCTGCAGCTAAGCCCAAACACAGCCAAATAAATAAAAAAATAATATAACAAAAATTAAGTTGATGTACTCTCAAACTGTTTTCCATATTACTAGGTATTACTCACAATTATAGTGTATATACATAAACATTTGATTGCATACTATATTTTACCAAAACTTTGCACTATTTTACAATGCAATGATTGCCATGCTTCTATAGCCCTCCAGGCTCCTCATGGAATTCTCCAGGCAAAAATACTGGAGTGGGTAGCCATTCTCTTCTCCAGGGGATCTTCCCAACCGAGGGATCAAACCCAGTTCTCCTACATTGCAGATGGATTCTTTACCAGCTGAGCTACCAAGGAAGCCCTCTATATTATATACAAGATATATAATAAGTATTTAGTTATATTCATATTGTATATTCATTTTAATGTACTTTATACCTATTTTACATAGATTGGTGGGTATTAGTGTCTTTGAGGTCTTTCTGCTTATGACTTTTTTTCTTATATTGATTACTATCCAGGTTAAAATTTCAAAATTGGGTTTTTGCTTCAAAAAGAGTAAATAATTCCATCACTCTTGAAACATTTTGCCAAAATATTGAGAGTCATTTCTCACTGCCAATGATAGCTCATTAATATTTCATTTTCCAAATGTTTTTACCAGCAAAGAGCATTATCAGTGTTTTTATCACCAACTTAGTATGTGTGAAATGTCATGATTTGCATTTCTCTGCTCACTTCCGGGGCTGAGTTATCTGGCACATGTGGGCCTGCTTTTTCCTCTTTCTTGTAGAAGCGGGGGATGAACGCACTGACTCTACAGGGGAAAGGTTTCCCTTCTTTGTGGTACTTCCTCGCTGTGCTCTGAGAGCATCTCAGTAAAGGTGCTCTGATGGCGAGGTGAAGGGGGCTTGTTGAGGGTCGGAGTCCGATGATGCCCCCGCAGCAGGTGTACTGCGCGAGCATGAGCCGGAGCCTCCTGCTCGCGGTTTAGGTCCACCTTGGAGACTGGTCAGAGCCCGGGGCGCCATTCCAGCTCTCTTGGGGTGTTGGAGGAGGCGGGTGCAGGCCGGGTGGGGTGCCATGGCTGCGTCTCCTGTCGCAGATGTTCCTCCTCCATCAGTCACGAGGCCTGAGTGTAGTGGGTGGGGCAGGGCGCCCCCAGAAAGGATGCCTCGAGGTGGAGCCCCATCGCAGGCCTGGAGGGGTCCTGATGCCCTCCGGGTCCCTGCGTCCCTTTCGCCAGAGCCCACAGACCTGCCTTTCACAGCAATGTTCTCAGGCCGTCTTTCCTGTAGAGATGCCTCAGAACTTGGAGTCCAGACACAGAGGACTGTTTTTCTGGGCTGCGATTGGCCTTTAAACTCTGTTTTCACCATGTTTGGGGAGTTTGGGTGTGAGTCCTGGGCTGTAGGGCGTGGGTGGGGGGCGCGGTGGGTAGAGGTGGTGCTCTGTTCTCATTATTGGCTAGTTTCCTGCTTCCGGTCTTTTTTTCTAACTTTATTATTATTTTTAGTTGAGGTACAGTTGACATACAACATTATAATATTGTTAGGTGTACAACATAATGACTTGATATTTGTATACATTGCAAGATCACCACCACAAGTCTGATTAATATCTATCATCATATGTAGCTACAGAATTTCTTTTCTTGTGATGAGAACTTTTAAGATCTATTCTCAAAAACTTTCAAATATTCTAATAGAACATTATTAGCTACAGTTACCATGTTGTATGTTATTTCCCTAGGACTTGCTTATTTTATAACTGGAACTTTGTACCTTTTTAATCCCCTTCATCCATTTCACCTACTCCCGACACCCTACCCTACCACCCCCATCCCTGTCTCTGGCACTATCAATATACTCCCCGTTTCAATGAGTTTGGCTTTTTTAGATTCTTCTGGTAAGTGAAATCATACAATTCTTATCTTTCTCTGCCTGACTTACTTCACATGGAAAAATGCCCTCTGGGGACATTCATGTGGTCTCAAACTGCAGGACTTCCTTCTTTAGGCAGCTGAGTAATAGTCATTGTGTGTAATATATATTCACATGTATCTATCTGTCTATATGCCACATTTATTTATCCATTCATTCCTTGACATTGATTCTGTATTCTGCAACTTAATTGAATTCATTGGCTAGTTCCAACAGTTTTTGGTGGAATATTTAGGGTTTTCTAAAAATCCTAATTTCATTTTTTCCTTTATAATTTGGATGATTTTTATTCATTTATTTTTTTTGCCTTAATTTTCTGGCTGGGATTTCCAGTGTTATTTAACTCCTGTTTTGAATAAGAGTGGTAGGAGTGGGCATCCTTGTCTTGTTTCTCGTCTTAGAGGAAAAGATTTCAACCTTTCATTATTGAGTATGTTATTTGTGGGCTTGTCAAGTACGGCCTTTATTATGTTAAGTTTTTAATCATGATTGAATATTGTATTTTGCCAAAGAGTTTTCTGCGTCTATTGAGATGGTAATATGATTTTATCTTTTATTCTATTAATATGGTTTATCCTATTACTGATTGAATATGTGGAACTATCCTTGCATCCCAGGGATAAATCATGGTGTATAATTATTATTTTTTAAGATTCTGTTGAATTCAGTTTGCTAGTATTTTGTTGAAAATTTTTCCATCTGTATTTATCAGAGATATTGGCCTGTGGTTTTCTTTTCTTGTAGTGTCCTTGTCTGGCTTTGGTATCTTAGTAATACTGGCCTTGTACAATGAGTTTGAAAGTGTTCCCTCCTTTTCAATTTGTTAGAAGAGTTTGAGAAGGATGGTGTTAGTTTTTCTTTATATTCTTGGTAGAATTCACCAGTGAACCATCTGGTCTTGGGCTTTTCTTTTTTTGGAAGGTTTTTGATTATTGATTCAACCTCATTACTTAATATTAGTTGGATTTTTGGTACTTTCATGATTCTGTGTTGGTAGATTGTATCTTTCTAGGAATTTATTCATTATTCTAGGTTTTCCAATTTGTTGGCATATAATTGTTTATAACACACTCTTACAAGTCTGTGGTATTCTGTAGTATTTATGTGGTATTAGTTGTAATGTACCCTCTTTAATTTCCAGTTTTGTTTGAGCCCTCTATCTTTTTTTTTTTTTTTTGGTGATACCGTCTCTCAGCTGTAAATGTTCTGAGGCTTTCTCAGGCCTGTTCTGTGGACATATCTACTCCATACATCTTATTCCCTCTTGTGATAGAATTCTTAAGCTCACACACCTTCTCCCCATCCTGCAAAGCTCCGGGCTGAGTACTGAGCTTTCTTTGGCTGTCCCAAGGGTGGTGCTGATTGCTCAGATTTGTGGAGTTTCTCCCAGGCTCACTTAGTCAGGCCAAATTTCTGCATATGCTCACAGCCGTCTTTCAAAAGCCTACTCTTGGGGCAGCTGGTAGTGTGCAGAGGCGCCTGCCACATGGTGGTGGTTCTCTGTGTGTGTGTGTGTGAGAGAGAGAGAGAGAGAGAGAGAGATTCACGGAGCACTGAGGGTTCCTGTGGGAC